TCGAGGTCAGATCAAAGTCAGGTCAAAAAAGGTCAAATTTTGAAGTTGATTGTTCAAGACTACAAAAGGTGTCTATCTGATGAAGTGTTGTTTATAGGTACTAGAGTTACAGGTTTACGCGATAACTGTATGTTTTGATTTATGTTATGTTACGGGTGCATTAGTTTGGGTGATTGACTTGTATTTTTAGCTGTATGATTTGGGTAGATTTGGGTAGCTGTTTTTAATTGAACTGTAAGGGATGGTGATCTACTTGCGGGATGTTCAAGTGTTTTGTATGTTGGGCCCTTTTAGAACTCAACCCTACCCCTACCCTACCCCTACCCTACGCCTACCCTACCCTCTACCCTACCTTACCATACCCTACCCTACCCTACCCTACTACCCTACCATACCCTACCCTACCCTACTACCCTACCCTACCCTACTACCCTACCCTACCCTACTACCCTACCCTACTCTACCCTACCTTACCCTACCCTACCCTCTACCCTACCCTACTACCCTACCCTACCCTACCCTACCCTACCCTACTACCCTACCCTACCCTATCCTACTACCCTACCCTACTCTACCCTACCCTACCCTACCCTACCCTACTACCCTACTCTACCCTACCCTACCCTACCCTACCATACCCTACCCTACTACCCTAGCCTACCCTACTACCCTACCCTACCCTACCCTACCCTACCCTACCTAACTACCCTACCTGACTCTACCCCCTACCCTACCCTACCATACCCTACCCTACTACCCTACCATACCCTACCCTACCCTACCCTACCCTACCTTACCCTAGTCCCTACCCTATAACCCTACCCTACTACCCTACCCTACCCTACCCTACCCTACCCTTCCCTACCCCTACCCCTACCCTACCCTACCTTATCATACCCTACCCTACCCTACTCTTACACTACACTACCCTACCCTACCCTTCCCTACCCTACCCTACACTACCCTAACCTACCCTACCCTACCCTACCCTACCCTACCCTACCCTATCCTACCCTACCCTGTCCTACCCTACCCTACCCTACCCTACCCTACCCTACCTACCCTACCCTACCCAACACTACACTACCTTACACTACCACCGACAGTCCAAGTTTCAGTTAAATCGGCCGAGAAACGGCCGAGATATTGCAAAAACAAATTAATTGTATTTACTGGCGAATCCTCATGGCGAGCGGTGCCTTGTGTCGGCCTTCGTTGTCAAAGGTCAATGACCTGCCGGCTCTGTTGCTTTCCACTCAGTTTTTTAAGCGAACAACTGAGCCTAAAGCACGTGCCCTCTGCTCGGCGCCGGTCGCGGCCCCGCCACGTGCACACCGCTGAACCCACACCGTCGAAAATTTAATACGACAAATGAGTGCACGCGATCGACTTGGCGTGAAAATTTCACCCCCGTAGCCCTTACCGTTTCCGAGCAATAGCCTGTTTTTGCCGATTCTAATGCTAACCCTATGGCGCACATGAGCACGCGCCACGGGCGCACCCCCGGCCGCATCGTGCCCAAAATTTAATACGACCTGTTTTATTACGTGACCCACGACTGGTAAAAATTTCACCCTCCTGCGTCAATCGACGGCGCCGCAATAAGCCTTTTAGGGAGTAACCCCGACGGCGTGGGCGGCGGACTTTTTAGGATTTATAATATAGACTAGAGGTACAGGTTTACGCGATAACTGTATGCTTTGATTTATGTTATGTTACGGGTGCATTAGTTTGGGTTTGTATTTTTAGCTGTATTATTTGGGTAGATTTGGGTAGCTGTTTTTAATTGAACTGTAAGGGATGGTGATAGTTGCGGGGTGTTCAAGTGTTTTGTATGTTGGGCCCTTTTTGAACTCAACCCTACCCCTACCCTACCCCTACCCTACCCCTACCCTACCCCTACCCTACCCCTACCCTATCCTACCCTACCCTTTACCCTACCCTACCCTACCCTACCTTACCACTACCCTACCCTACCCTACCCTACCCTACCCTACTCCTACCCTACCCTACCCTATCCTACCCATACCCTACCCTACCCTACCCTACTCCTACACTACCCTACCCTACCCTACCCTACCCTACCCTACCCTACCTTTACACTACCCTACCCTACCCTACCCTACCCTACCCTACCCTTACACTACCCTACCCTACCCTACCCTACCCTACCCTACCCTACTCCTACACTACCCTACCCTACCCTACCCTACCCTACCCTACCCTACCCTACCCTACCTTTACACTACCCTACCCTACCCTACCCTACCCTACCCTTACCCTACCCTACCCTACCCTACCCTTACACTACCCTACCCTACCCTACCCTACCCTACCCCTACCCTACAATCCCCTACCCTACCTTACCCTACCCTACAATCCCCTACCCAACCCTACCCTACCCTACCCTACCCTATTCTACCCTACCCTACCCTACCCTACCCTACCCTATTCTACCCTACCCTACCCTACCCTACCCTACCCTACCCTACCCTACGACTACCCCTACCCTACCCTACCCTACCCTACCCTACCCTACCCTACCCTACCCTACCCTACCCTACCCTACCCTACCCTACCCTACCCTACCCTAAACTACACTACCACCGACAGTCCAAGTTTCAGCTAAATCGGCCCAGAAACGGCTGAGATATTGCAAAAACAAATTTATCGTATTTACTGGCGAATCCCCTTGGCGAGGGGTGCCCGGCGCCGGTATTCGTTGTCAAAGGTCAATGACCTGCCGGCTCTGATGCTTTTCACTCAGGTTTTTAAGCGAACAACTGAGCCTAAAGCACGTGCCTTCTGCTCGGCACCGGTCGCGGCCCCACCACGTGCACACCGCTGAACCCACACCGTCGAAAATTTAATACGACAAATGAGTGCACGCGACCGACTTGGCGTGAAAATTTCACCCCCGTAGCCCTCACCGTTCCCGAGCAATAGCCTGTTTTTGCCGATTCTAATGCTAACCCTATGGCGCACATGAGCACGCGCCACGGGCGCACCCTCGGCCGCATCGTGCCCAAAATTTGATACGACCTGTTCAATTACGTGACCCACGAGTGGCAAAAATTTCACCCTCCTGCGTCCATCGACAGCGCCGCAATAAGCCTTTTTGGGAGTAACCCCGACGGCGGCGGCGTGGGCGGCGGCGGACTTTTTAAGATTTATAATAGTAGATTACAAAAGGTCTCTATCTGAGGCCTGTTTCACTAACAAATAAAGTGTGTAATTACAAAGAAAAAACTTGAGTTTAAAAGAAATAATTACCAACATTTGAAATTTGGATTTCACGAAACCTTCGGGCATGAATTTTGAGTTTAAAATTTACCAACTTTTTTACAAGAAAAAAGTTTGTAAGAAACATCGAAATCGCAAACTTTCTGTTTCACGAAGACCAAAAACTTGAAAGAAAACGTTGTACTTACAAACCCGAAATTCCAGTGGCCCTTACGTTCGGAATTTTATTACTTTTTGTGCAATGATGCAAAGCAATCAATTATTTAAAACAAATATGATATACAGAGTCATTATATGCTTTTTTCACTTAGCACATTCCCTACGAACCAGCTACGAGCAATAAATAAATATCGTCATGTTTTGTCATTCGCGCGCCATAATTGCATTCAACAGTCTTCTGCTGTCAAATGTTTTACGTGTTATTTTCTTTCAATAATAAGATGTTGTGAACTATAATTTATACCATTCAGAAACAGCATCATTATTTTTAATTTATTCCTGCAATTTCTGACATGAATACTAGACATAGTTTGATAAAAAGAAGCAGTATCTGTAACATGTTATAGTTCTTGATTAAAAACAATTTTACTGTTTACAAGTTTATTTACCAACTCTTTTTATCGGAGGTGCCGCTGGTGATGAAGTTTAGTGAAATCCGATTTTACATAGTTTGCAAAAATACTTATGAATTGTAAAGTTCAAACACTTGTAATCGCAAGTTTTTAGTGAAACAGGCCTATGCAGTTTTCGCGACAAATCGGATGGTTTTATTTTGTTTTATCTACGAGGTCGAGTACCTACTTCAACAAAAACAAAATTGAGATTGTTATACCCTGACACTACTAAATTTGAGGAAACTTCCTACGTTTAAACCGAATTTTCAAAACTAGGGATGTAGGTGCACAGACCTTACCTCTCTAACATATATTAAATAATCCGTTTTGTTTTTTGATAGTCAATTTTGGATTTATAACGATTCTCTCCTAAAGTATTTGGAAGATTTTCGGTCAGCATACAAAAATTTCAAATACCGAGGCAGCCCTTTGAAAGACAAACTTTACGCACATACATGCTTTCTATTACGCCTTGATTCCTTAACAACTTAACTCTTAAGATGTTAGAGGCGTTTAAAGTTGCAGTTAAGCGAAAATGGCGTGAGGTGACCTTTATAAAACGTCATTTTCTCCTTTTTCCGACGGATTTTGCTCCAATTTTCAAGGAACATGTCAAATTTATGTATGATAAAGTACTTAAAGTTTGACGTTGCTGGCTTAGCGAATTTAGAAGCCCTTGGTGAAAAACGGGAGGGGCAGATTCTCCCCCCCCACTTCCCCCCACAGTAGGGTGCGGGTTATGCCGAAGGAGTTATAGAGAAATTATTCAAGTATTTGGTGCTGTTTGGTGCTGAATGGTAGGAGCTCTGGGCGGCAAGCAGGCCGGCGCGTGGCCACGATTTGAAAATCGGGCAACTTTGAGACGAATGACTGGATTGGCGCCTCAGCCACCTTCTTCTACACGTACCTACACTGAATAACTTTGGAAGTTAAAGAAAAACCTGATGATACCTTTGATGATAAAAATATCAATGGTAATGTCACTATCAGTGTTTTCTCGAATACATAGGTAACTGAGATCAGCTTGTTTGGGCCGCATAGTTTTGTACCTATTGCCGTGTCATGTTTGGATTAATACAAATATTTATTAACTTTCCCAAACGAGTATACCTAAGACTGTGACGCTGTTTGTTTCTTTTCCAGAGCTAGCTGAGTTTGAAAAGAACGTATCCAGAAATATTTATAAACACAATGCCTACAGGTAGGTCAGGATGTTGAGCTAAGACATTGTTTCAGTTAAGGACATGATGTGGAGTTTGTTAATGTAATAAGTGAAACGATTTCTTGTGCAGTTAAGTCCTAATTCACTTATTACATTGTTTCAGCTCTTTTAATGCGTTTCCAGGCGGACAATTTTTAGCGGACGCTGGCCCCGATGGGAGCTGCGAGCTACACGTCCCCTCTCTGTACCTCCCACACTGACACCCGCCGGTGGTGTGTGCTGTCCCAGAGAGTATCTACTATCTACTGTCCCACACTGACACCCGTCGGTGGTGTGTGCTGTCCCAGAGAGTATCTACAGTCCCACACTGACACCCGCCGGTGGTGTGTGCTGTCCCAGAGAGTATCTACAGTCCCACACTGACACCCGCCGGTGGTGTGTGCTGTCCCAGAGAGTATCTACAGTCCCACACTGACACCCGCCGGTGTTGTGTGCTGTCCCAGAGAGTATCTACAGTCCCACACTGACACCCGCCGGTGGTGTGTGCTGTCCCAGAGAGTATCTACAGTCCCACTCTGACACCCGCCGGTGGTGTGTGCTGTCCCAGAGAGTATCTACAGTCCCACACTGACACCCGCCGGTGGTGTGTGCTGTCCCAGAGAGTATCTACAGTCCACTCTGACACCCGCGGTGGTTGTGCTGCCCTACTACCTACCCTACTTCTACCCTACTACCCACCTACCTCTACCGGTGGTGTGTGTGTTGTCCCAGAGAGTATCTACAGTCCCACACTGACACCCGCCGGTGGTGTGTGCTGTCCCAGAGAGTATCTACAGTCCCACATTGACACCCGCCGGTAGTGTGTGCTGTCCCAGAGAGTAGCTACAGTCCCACACTGACACCCGCCGGTGGGTGTGCTGTCCCAGAGAGTATCTACAGTCCCACACTGACACCCGCCGGTGTTGTGTGCTGTCCCAGAGAGTATCTACAGTCCCACACTGACACAGGCCGGTGGTGTGTGCTGTCCCGGAGAGTATCTACAGTCCCACACTGACACCCGCCGGTGTTGTGTGCTGTCCCAGAGAGTATCTACAGTCCCACACTGACACAGGCCGGTGGGTGTGTGCTGTCCCAGAGAGTATCTACAGTCCCACACTGACACCCGCCGGTGGTGTGTGTGCTGTCCCAGAGAGTATCTACAGTCCCACTCTGACACCCGCCGGTGGTGTGTGCTGTCCCAGAGAGTATCTACAGTCCCACACTGACACCCGCCGGTGGTGTGTGCTGTCCCAGAGAGTATCTACAGTCCCACACTGACACCCGCCGGTAGTGTGTGCTGTCCCAGAGAGTATCTACAGTCCCACTCTGACACCCGCCGGTGGTGTGTGCTGTCCCAGAGAGTATCTACAGTCCCACACTGACACCCGCCGGTGGTGTGTGCTGTCCCAGAGAGTATCTACAGTCCCACACTGACACCCGCCGGTGGTGTGTGCTGTCCCAGAGAGTATCTACAGTCCCACACTGACACCAGCCGGTGGTGTGTGCTGTCCCAGAGAGTTTCTACAGTCCCACACTGACACCCGCCGGTAGTGTGTGCTGTCCCAGAGAGTATCTACAGTCCCACACTGACACCCGTCGACCACACTGACACCCGCCGGTGGTGTGTGTTGTCCCAGAGAGTATCTACAGTCCCACACTGACACCCGCCGGTGGTGTGTGCTGTCCCAGAGAGTATCTACAGTCCCACACTGACACCAGCCGGTGGTGTGCGCTGTCCCAGAGAGTATCTACAGTCCCACACTGACACCCGCCGGTGGTGTGTGCTGTCCCAGAGAGTATCTACAGTACCACACTGACACCCGCCGGTGTTGTGTGCTGTCCCAGAGAGTATCTACAGTCCCACACTGACACCCGCCGGTGGTGTGTGCTGTCCCAGAGAGTATCTACAGTCCCACACTGACACCCGCCGGTGGTGTGTGTGCTGTCCCAGAGAGTATCTACAGTCCCACTCTGACACCCGCCGGTGGTGTGTGCTGTCCCAGAGAGTATCTACAGTCCCACTCTGACACCCGCCGGTGGTGTGTGCTGTCCCAGAGAGTATCTACAGTCCCACACTGACACCCGCCGGTGGTGTGTGCTGTCCCAGAGAGTATCTACAGTCCCACACTGACACCCGCCGGTGGTGTGTGCTGTCCCAGAGAGTATCTACAGTCCCACACTGACACCCGCCGGTGGTGTGTGCTGTCCCAGAGAGTATCTACAGTCCCACACTGACACCCGCCGGTGGTGTGTGCTGTCCCAGAGAGTATCTACAGTCCCACATTGACACCCGCCGGTGGTGTGTGCTGTCCCAGAGAGTATCTACAGTCCCACACTGACACCCGCCGGTGGTGTGTGCTGTCCCAGAGAGTATCTACAGTCCCACTCTGACACCCGCCGGTGGTGTGTGCTGTCCCGGAGAGTATCTACAGTCCCACACTGACACCAGCCGGTGGTGTGTGCTGTCCCAGAGAGTATCTACAGTCCCACACTGACACCCGCCGGCGGTGTGTGCTGTCCCAGAAAGGCGGCCTCTGTGCTGTCCCACCACCCGGAGCGAATCACCTCCGGAGAACAGGCCCGCCAGCTGGCCGGCATCGGGCGGAAAATCGCCGACAAAATCGACGAGTTTCTGCAGACGGGTCACCTGCGCAAGCTGGACAAGGTAGGAGGGGCAGGGGACGAGGTCACATGGGCCCAGCCATGTGGCCCAGCCGTACTAACTGCGGTAAATAGGATTTGGCAATACTGGCTACCAAACACTCTAAGGTATCAAACACCCTAAAAGGTGTCAAAAATGTTCTTTTAAAAGCATCTGACACCCTTATGATGCCTTCACAGGTGTTGCCATTTATTGAAGCGGAATGTTAAGAGTGTCCGACACTACTAGAGGTGTCACATTGACACTTGCAAAAGGATCTGACACCAAAAACAGCGTGAAAAAAATGAGGAAAAATATTCCCATGGGGTGTCTCACGGGTGTCGGACATCATTGCAGTGTCATATATAACGCCCAGATTGGTGTCAAAAATGTTGTTTTGGGAATCATGGAGGTGTACAACACCACGATGACAACCTTCAAGTGCAACGCGCTTTTAAACACACCATGATGGGATTCAGAAAGACACATTAATGGGTGTCCTACACCAACATCCATTCGGGTGTCAAACACCCTAAACCATCAACACTTCAAAAGGTGTAAACAAAAATGTTCCTTAAAAGGGATCTGATACCCTTGTGATACCTTCACGTGTGTTGTCATTTGTTGAGGAACATTCCAGCATGAGTCATGAAATGTTTGAAAGCTGTCGTGTATTCGAACCTAAATCATCACATAAATTGTTCTGACGTCACTTGTGTTAGGAACCAGGGATGCGGTGTCTAACGGATTTTCAGTGACTCGCACTCCCGCTCTGTCTTCCAAAATGGACTCCTATTCCGGCCAGAACTGCCAACTCCATCAGACTCCGACTCTGACTCCGTAGCACTGCTAGAAACCACAGCAGGTCCAGTGGTTTGAATCATTACCCAATCAGCAAGCTTCATTGTGTGACGTCATTTGTGTGCTAGTCACGGCGTCAACCATGCGAAGATCAAAAAGCGCCACCTTGCAGGAAAGCCGTTAGATTTCAGTTGGCGGCGGCGTGCCACGTGGTGCGTGTGCGGTGTGAGTGATGGCAGGGCTTTTTTTTTGAATTTATGTGGATATAGTGGCGCCGAACGTTGTTCGCAGTGTACTTCTTCAAGTGATTGTGCGTTAATGATAATGTTTAGCTTTATTTGTAGCTTGCTCCGTGTTTATTCAAATGACGAGGCGGGCGGTACTCGGTGAAATTTGAAGTCTGGAGTGAGGATGACAACACAGCATTGCACCATGGAAACGAAAGCAAGTGAACTGCGGAATAACATCTGGTTGGAGATAATCGACGGTTAATTATCATTGCTGAAATGCGAGCAACTTCTCACTGTGAATGGACCCGATGTGTTTCGGTGAGTTTTCATTGGATTTCTCCGTAAATATAGGGCCAATATTTTTTGTACTTTATAGTTTGTTGCTGTATACAAGATAGGAATGCCATTGTATGCGATATGCCTGTTTGAACCAATAAATGTAAGAATGTGTCGACACCTTTTTTGGCATCCAATGGACACTCTCGTAACACCTTTAAGGGTGTGTACCAAACTGCACCTCGCTGGGGTGTCAGACGGGTGTCACTTTTGACACCAATACAGGTGTCATTGGGAATCAAACACCGGGTGTCTGACACCCTTTTGGGTGTGCACCCAAAAGGGTATCAGACACCTAAAAGGGTGTCAGACACCCGGTGTTTCATTCCCAATGACACCTGTATTGGTGTCAAAAGTGACACCCGTCTGACACCCCAGCGAGGTGCAGTTTGGTACACACCCTTAAAGGTGTTCCAGGGGAATAATTTTTTTTCTCAGTGTACTTGTTGTTTCCTGCCACTGAGAAAAGACTTTTCATGCCAGCAGTCTGCCAGGCACGCCGTAGGTTTGTGGAGCAAGCGCTGGTGAGGGACAGAGTCAAAGGCTTCGCAAAAGTCTAAGTAAAGCACGTCTATTGGAGTCTGATCCTCAAACGATTTGCTCCAGTGTCCCAGGGCCCCTAATAACTAGATGGGTGCTGCATGAACCGTCGTCGATCTCTTCGCCTCGTAACAACTCACAGCTCCAAGCCGGACCTGGTCGTTTTAGTCAAATGGTCCGACACTTGCCAGCTCTCATTTAATGAGAGGAAATGCAAGGTTCCACACATGGGGCGCGCGAACGAGGACCACCAATACACGATCAGGGGAAATTCAATGTGCGACATTTCGCTAGATCGTGACTTAGGGATCCACATCGACTCGGAGCTGAAGTTCCGCCAACATGCGTCAGTGGTCGTTTCCAAAGCTACTCAGGTGCTTTCTGTCATTCGGCGCTCCTTTACCTTGCTAGACTGTTTCACGCTTCCCCTTTTATATAGGGCGCTAGTTCGCCCACACCTCGAATTCGACAACCTCGTTTCGGGTCCGTTCAACCGCGCGGACCAGAAACTGCTGCAGAAAGGGTACAACGAAGCGCGACACGTATGGTATCCAGCATCAGACACTTAAACTACGAAGAAAGCCTGTCGAAGCTACGTCTTCCATCACTTTACTATAGGCGCAAGCGAGGCGACATGATTTTTCTGTACCAATTGTTCAATGGTGGAGTTGATATCAGTCCAGACAACTTATTCACGCGAGTCGCAAACAGTTACATTCGAGGCCACCCATTCCAGAGCGGTACCTGCAAAGCGAGGAGGTCGGCCATCTCTGTTCGCGCCGTGAATGACTGGAACTCGCTCCCTGCCGAAGTCGAATGCTCGGCATCGCTAAACACCTTCAAAGCGAGCCTGGATGCCCACTGGGCCCATCTCTGGTAGTACCTAGGCCCGGTACCTCCTGTGAACATTTTCCGTTTTATTGGTGGTTGTTGGGTGTGGGCTGAATGCGTATTGGCGTTTTTTTTTTATAGCGTCAGAGGTGTAAGGTGCCTAATTAGCGACCCTTTCCGATTTGCGACCTACCTCCTTACAGAAAAAAAACTGGCATGAGAAAACGGGATAAAAACATCGTCAAAAGGTCAGCCATACTTTGCTTATCAAATTAAATTATTTTACGGTTGTCGATGTTTCTGGTGGGACGTTTCAGGTGAGTTTAAATAAAAATGACGAGTTTCTTATCTAAAACGTGTGTGTTTGGGCCCTCTCTGATGAAAAGCGATGCACATTAGGATGATGCACATTTTTTATTCTGAATCGACATTCTTTTTTCAATTGATTGCCGTTTTCCCATAGTGAATCGCTTAACTGTGCGCAGCATGGCGGTTAAAAATGTGTCGCAACTCATATTTCCTATTTGCGCCTGACATGGTCGCAAATAGCTCAAGAAGGGAAAGAAAGGGGAAAAGTGAGAAATGAAAATGAGGTGTTGCTGAAGCTTGCAATGTGTGGCAGGGGATGCCAAATGTCGTCACCGACTGCAGGGGTGCCGAATCCAGCGCAGACCTCGAATATCATACGAGATAGCCCGCAAAATTTGGGTTTCCGCCTTCTTTTGGCCTTCGGTGCATCACGTGATCAGTTTTTACTTAGGTAAATGTGTTGGATAAACGTTCCTGTTCGAGTGATTGAGTGCTTCTCGTATAGGTTACCTTTTTGAGATCATATTTCATCTTTTCAGGCGTCGCATTTTTGGCCATTTTTAATATGGGGAAACCCATAGACTTATTAGCGACCCTCCCCGGTCGCTAATCGGGAAGAGTTCCCTATTAGCGTTTTTTGCAATGGTTTGCCAAAATGCTCACTACAAATAAGTTAGTGAATATTGGGGCAGAAAATGACTATATTTTAATGGAAAAATGAACGATCTCTCTGAAAATCAAGCCAGTAATACAGTGGCACCAACAGATCGTGAGCAATGACGGTTCAAATTAAGGGGGTCGCTAATTAGGCACCTTACCCTATAGAAGATATCCATGGGACCCAATAGTAATGAAATCTTGCATAGAACCCTCTTCCCAGCCGTCTGGCCCCTGATCGGACTAGAGATTCGCGGAAAAAAATCGGGCGTGTTTCTCATGACGAGAGGGAGCTGATGATTGCCAATTTTAAGATTCTAGATCATTGGTTGACCTTCCAGGTCAGGTCAATGCCCCAAAAGTCGCGAAAATCGGACCGTGCTAGAATTTCGTAATGTGAGGTTGTTGTGGAGTTTTTTCTTTTCGGGGTAGGTACTGATTACGAGTTTCGTTTGGGGTGGGGGTGGGGCAGATTTCGCCCAGTATAACTTTCGAACCGATGGTCGCAGAAAGAGGGAGAGGTCGGCAATCGAAAGCTCTTATCGAGGCGTACTGGAGCATAACATTTTTTTTTGCGAGCCACAGGTCATGTCGAGGTGAGGTCAGGAATAGAAACTGAAAATTTCAACATTTCCTAGTACTTCTGACTTTGGAGCCCAGTTGGCGAATAATGGACAGAGATTGGTCACCCAAAACGTGTTTCTAGGTACTTAGACAAGATGCATTGCATACAATACCTATCATGTGAAGCTAGAGGTCAGGTCAGGTCAACGAAGGTAAACTATCTACCTTCAACATGTGATATATATGCGACACATGTTTTATGGGTCATTTTACTTGTCATTTTACTCAATAAACATATTTAATTAGTGATATGGACCATATTTGGATGAAGTTCAGGTCGAGGTCAGATCAAAGTCAGGTCAAAAAAGGTCAAATTTTGAAGTTGATTGTTCAAGACTACAAAAGGTGTCTATCTGATGAAGTGTTGTTTATAGGTACTAGAGTTACAGGTTTACGCGATAACTGTATGTTTTGATTTATGTTATGTTACGGGTGCATTAGTTTGGGTGATTGACTTGTATTTTTAGCTGTATGATTTGGGTAGATTTGGGTAGCTGTTTTTAATTGAACTGTAAGGGATGGTGATCTACTTGCGGGATGTTCAAGTGTTTTGTATGTTGGGCCCTTTTAGAACTCAACCCTACCCCTACCCTACCCATACCCTACGCCTACCCTACCCTCTACCCTACCTTACCATACCCTACCCTACCCTACCCTACTACCCTACCATACCCTACCCTACCCTACTACCCTACC